TAGAGAAAAATGATTCATTACATACAGGAGATCTTCAGTAAGATTAGCATCTAATATGTTATCAAACACAGTGTAAGCCAGAAAGCAATAGGATGACCTATTCAAAGTTCTGAAAGAAAAATGGTATTAACCAAGGATTCTATATCCAGGAGCAAAATTGTCCTTCAGAAGCAAAGAACAAATCAAGACATTTCCAAGTAAGCAAAAGCTGAGGAAGTTCATCTCTAGTAGATCTGTTCTATAAGAAATACTAAAGGGAATCCTTCAGACTAAAATGAAAGGACATTGGAGAGTAACCTAAATCCATATGAAGAAATAAAGAGTGTTATTAAACGGAGCTACATAGGTAAATACAAAACAGAAACATATAAGTGTATTTTTTTATTTGTAACTCTTTTTTTTTTTACTATCTGATTTAAAAGACAGCTGAATAAAGCAATAACTTTGTGTTGATGGGCGCACACTCTATAAAGATGTAATTTATCACAAGGCAGGTAGAGACCACAGAGCTGTATAGGAGCAGAGCTTTTATATGCCATTGAAATTAAGTTGGTATTTAATCTAAAGTAGATCATTAGGTTAATTATAATCCAGAGAAACCACTAGGCTAATAACTGAAAATATATATAATAAACAAGGGAATTAAAATGGTACAATAGAAAGTATCTGTTTAACAAAAGAAGGTAGAAATGGAGGAATAGAGGAACAAAAAATATATCAGGCATGAAGAATACAGCAAAATAGATGACAAATCTTTTTCAACTACATTAAATGTAAATGAATTAAACACTCCAGTTAAAAGATATTGACAGGGTAGATTAAACAACGGGATCCAACTATATGCTGTAACAGACACACTTTAGATTCAAAGACAGTGGTTTATTTTTAACAAAGATTAAAACTAAAAAGTTGGAAAAGATACACTATGCAAGCAGTAACCAAGAAACACTGAAGAGTGGCTATACTAATATCAGACAAAGAAAAGATAAAAATTGTTAGTGAAGACAAAGTATATTTTATAATGTATGTAAGTGTTGATAAATTTCTAGAAAGACATAAACTATTGAAACTGACTCAAAAAGAAATAGAAAATCTGGATAGACCTGTAACAATTAAGAAGACTGAATTGATAATCAAAATGTTTCACAAAGGTAAAAGCCCAGGACCAGATGGTTTTCACTGGTATGGTCTACCAAACATTTAAAGAAGAATTAACACCAGTCATTCACAAACTTCCCAAAAAAGGAATAGGCATGAAGAGCACTTCCCAACTCATTCTATGAAGCCATGCATTGTTCTTTTATCAAACCAACAAAGACATCATAGGAAGAAAAAACAAGAAACCAATATTCCTTATGTATATAGATGAAAAAATCCTTAACAGAATTGCAAACTGGATCCAGCAGGATAAAAAAAGATTATACACCAGCATAAAAAGGGAACTTTACACCATAATCAAGTGTAATTTATGGGATTAAGGAATGAATAGTTGGTTCAACATAAGAAAACCAATCAAACTAAGACACTGTATTAATAAAGGACATAAATGATACAGTCATCTCAATAGTCACAGAAAACACTTCTCAAAAACCAACACCATTACATCATAAAAACACTAAACAAATTAGGAATAGAACTTTCTCAACCTGCTAAAGGGTCTCTATGAAGAACCAATAGCTTACATCATACTAAATGCTAAAAAATGAAAGCTTTCCCTCTAAGATCACAAGACAAGCGTGTCCGCTTCTGCTGCTCATTTTCAGTGCTGTACTGGAGTTTCTAGACAGGGCGGTTACAAGGAAAAAAAAAAAGAGGCTTCCAGATTTAAAGGAAAACTATCTCTATTTGCAGATGCCATGATCTCTTATATATAGACAGAAAATCCAGCCACAACAAAAAAGCTACTAGAACTAATAAACAAGTTCAGCAATTTTGCAGGAGAGCAAATCACCGTACAAGAGACAGCTATGTTTCTGTGTACCAGCATTAAACAACCTGAAAGTGGAACTAAGAAAACAATTTCACACATGACAATATTTAAAAGAGTAAAATACTGAGGAATAAAATTAACAATGTAGATAGAATGTAGAATAATACAATAGAGTATTATTCAGCCATAATAAGTAATGGAGCACTGATACATACTACAAGGATGAACCATGAAAACATGCTAAGTGAAAGAAGCTGACACAATGGCTACATATCATAGTATCAGTATCCCATTTATTTAAAATGTAGAAAACAGACATATCCATGGAGTCAGAAAGTAGGTTAGTAGTTGCCAGGAGCTGAGGGAAGAGGAGAATGGCTTATAATGGGTAGTGGGTTTCTTTTTGAGGTAATGAAAATGTTTGGAATTAGATCATGGTGATAATTGCACATCCTTTTGAATGTTCTGAGAACCACTCAATTGTACACGTTGAAAGTGTGATTTTTATGTAAATTATATGTATAAATAAGTGATTTAAGGCTATTTACATAAATATGTCTCTCAGTGCAAGGATTTCTTTTAAAATATCCTTGATACTGTATTTTCTGTTAAAATGTTCAGTAGATTTTGGAAAGTTTTTAATTTGTAGTCTTGTTAACAAATTACTCTCTTTTGAATCTGTAAAAGTTGTCTTCAGATCTCTTCTGTAACAGAAAGATTTGCTGCTCAGGAATAATTCATTAAGAATTACCTTTTCTACAACTATCTATGAAAATTTCTCTTCCTTTAAATTTCTTCCCTAGTTTATTCTTTAGGGAATTAGGAATTAGTTATACTTTATGCTCAGACTAGGTCTATTTAGGGGTGCCTGATTGGCTCAGTCAGTTAAGTGCCAGACTCTTGATTTCGGCTCATGTCGTGATCTCACTGTTCATGAGATCAAGCCCCACATCAGGCTCTGGGCTGACAGTGTGGAGACTGCTTGGTCCCTCTCTCTCTGCCACTCCCCTGTTCGTGCTCTCTCTCTCTCAAAAAAACATTTTTTTAAAAACAGAACTACTTATATATTGTAGACTTTTTAATAGTCTTTAGAGATAATCTCTAATAAAACCACATTATGTTACATTTTTTTAGATTCAGATTTTTTTGGATCTTGATTTTCATTCAAGAACTACTAGGTATTTTCCCAAAGAATACAAAAATACTAATTCAAAGGAATATATGCATCCCAGTGTTTATAGCAGCATTATCTACAGTAGCCAAATATGGAAACAGTCCAAATGTCCATCAACTGATGAATGGATAAAGAAGATGTAGTGTGTGTATACACACACACACGCACACACACACACACACACACACACACACACGAGAATATTAGCCATAAAAAAAGAATGAAATCTTGCCATTGCAACAACACAGCTCTATATGGAGCTGGAGAGTATTATGCTAAATGAAATAAGTCTGAGAAAGAAAAATATCATTTGTCTCATTTGTGGAATTTAAGAAACAAAACAAATGACCTAAGGGAAAGAGAGAGGCAAACCATGAAACAGTAACTATGGAGAACTCTCTGGTTACCAAGAGGGGAGGTGGCTGGGGGGAATGGGTTAAATAGGTGATGGGGATTAAGGAGTGCCCTTGTAATGAGCACCAGGTGTTGTATGTAAGTGTTGAATCACTAAATTGTACAACTAAAACTAATATTACACTGTATGCTAAGTGGAATTTAAATTACAACTTAAAAAAAAAAGTGGGTAGCTCAGTTGGTTGTCTGTCCAACTCTTGATTTCAGCTTGGGTCATGATCCCAGAGTCGTGGGATCGAACCCTGTGTCAGGCTCTGTACTGAGCATGGAACCTGATTAAGATTCTCCCTCTGCCCCTCTCCCCCACTCAAATGCTCACTCACTCCCTCTCTCTCTCTCAAAATAAAAAATAAAAATATATGTGTTTGTTTTAACTTAGCTGCATAATGACATCCTTTATACATAATATCAAATATCAGGTCTTTACATGGTTAAAATGTTTTTTTATATAAATTTTATAATCCTAAGAATTTCTGGGCTTATAGTCATTTTTTCCAAAATTGGTATGTGAGCTTTAACAGGTTTGAGATTTGATGTCAACAAAACAGGCTTTCATATAAAAATTGCATGACAGTTCTTCTTCCTTTCCAGAAATATTTGATCAAGGTTTCAAGCATTACTATAGTCTATTTATTGCTGGTTCTTGGCAGGGTGGGGAGACAACTTAAGTATTTAAAGCTATTGTCATTTAAATATAATGCTTCCCTGAATGTCCATTTAATTTTTGCTAATAGTGGGAAAGGTATAGGCTCTTAAGATAGTGTGCTTGCAGCATATACTAGGTATCAGCAGCCTTTCAGAAATAAGAATTAAGTTGCTTATTCTGGAGTGGAATTTATCACCTCAGTAATTATTTTGGCCAGGGAAGGGCCCTGCGTACAAAACATTGTTCAAACAAATGCCTTGTTCATTTGATAACGTTTTCTCTCTTTAAATGTCAGCCCTTGAAATCTGAGCAATTTTAACACTTTTAAACAACTGCCTTTCTGTTACTCCAAAAGAACAGAGGCTTAGTTTGGGGAAGGAAGGAAGAAAATTGGAACTGAAATGAGTAATAGGAGTAAAAATATGGCAGGAGTTGAAAAGATGCTATATACAAAATGAACGTCCCTCTCATTGCTTGAGTTACTAGTGAAATGAACTATACAAAATAATGACACTTGTTGATATTTCAGGTTATCAAATTAAGGTATGTTTCCCAAAGGATTGGTGAACAACTTCCCAGAAAACTTGGGGAAAATTTTGGTTTTGCTCACTTGACGTTAAGCAGAGTATTTTTAGTGAGTAAAATTGTTTTCATTGATAATAACATTCTGCTGAAATATATGATGTATTTTAGTAACTCGGAACAAGAAAATACTTTAATGATAAAGTAATTGCAAATTATTTTTTTTAACTGTGCCTACTCAAAGAACAGGCTATTGTGGTTTCTAATCGGTATGCATAATTTCTTTCAAATTTAAAATTCAATTTGATTTACAGGTAAACAGTGTTGACCTCAGAACTGCCAGCCATGAGCAGGCAGCAGCCGCTTTGAAAAATGCTGGCCAAGCTGTCACGATTGTTGCACAATATCGGCCTGAAGGTAGTAAAATTCTTGCTGTCTGTGTTTATTGTTTATTTCAGTTTTTAGAATTCTTCCTCTTACTGTTTAACTTTCCAAGCTTAACTTTTTTATGTTTTGGTCTCTTTTATTAATCTAGTGTTTGTTTAGTCTGAACCAAATTTACTATCCAGGTCAAAGTGTTTTCAATAGGATGTAGTAGTTTTATCTTCCAATTCCTTTGAGTATTTCATCATTATTTGGATTAATTGCCATGTGTTTATTATTTTTTTTAATCTGTCCTCAAACCAAATACATACCTTTACTAACTCAGGGATCCCAAAGGATCGTAAAAACTATATGCAATGATAGTAGCATTGCCAAAGAAAATTGGTCATCCCAATTTTTTCTGACTTTTGAAATTATATTTGTTAATATCAAGATTTAAGATACATTTTTAATAGCCTTTTTATTGGTGTTTAAAATAAATGGAAAAAATACAAGTTTGAAATGTAATGTGTTTCTAGATAGTGAAATATCATGGACGTGACCTGACTGAGTTCCTAGGGGAAGAAGGTGGTAATGGAAAATTTGAGGTCATGCCATATTTAAACGTGTAAGACTCTAGTGTACATCAGCATAACCACTTCTCCAGTAAAACCTCAGTGGAATTTAAAAAGCTTAAGTACCCTGAAGGATATATAGCATACTGGTTAATGTTCATAAACAACAAGGTAAAGAAGGAAACAATGATGGAATTTATTTTTGTAACAAAACCTAATTTATTTTATTTTATTTTTTTACTTGGTCAAAGTAGCATGTAGAGCTTTCCTTGCTATTTCATAGTACGTCCAGTTGTAAATCTTGGCATTTTAGGTCCAGTAAATGAACAGAGGTAAATTCATTTACATAATGGATAAACTCCAAATAAATTCACATTAACCAAACAGACTAATATATGAAGTCAGAATGCCAGTGTTTTAATGTTTATTTATTTATTGAGAGAGAGAGAATGCTTGCAAATGGGGGAAGGATCAAAAGAGAAGGAGAGAGGGAATCCTAAGCAGCCTCCACACTGTCAGTGCAGAGCCCAATTCAGGGCCTGATTTCACAAACTGTGAGATCATGACCTGAGCTGATATCAAGAGTCTGATGCTCAACTAACTTAGCCACTCAGGTGCCCCGAATGCCAATTTATTAATTCAGTGAGAAACAAAACCACCAGTGGGATTACGCATGCTTTTATCTTCTGACCAGCACATTCTTGCCCTGTAGGTATACTATATATACCTATATAGGCCAAGTTATCAGGATTTACTAAGATACTGGTTTCTTAGTATTATAGAAAGTCTCTCACTTATATGTTCCTAAGGAATATAGACTATTTAGGTATGATTAAAGATAAGTCAATATCTGACCTCCCAAGAAAACGCACAAAAGCCAACAAGGAAAATAAAACATACACACACTCACACCCACACAACTCCACCTCACATTAAGCAAAACTAAGATGACTGATACAAGACCTAGACAACATAACATAGTCAAAGCCTTGCTTACTCAGCTTCTGATCTGCACAGAAGAGAAGAGTAAAAACATGGAACGTTGAGAATTCTCAGTGGTGGCAGAACTTAGAATATGACCGAAAGTTGGTGAGGGCTTCTTTTTGTGGTATAAAAACATCATCTTTTATTTTTGACAAGCCTCATGGGAATTCAGGGAACATGCTAAAAAATAGAAGTCATCCTTGATGTGGTTTAGTTTAGGGAAGTAGTATTTGGATAAAGGAATCTGTCTTGATAGCCTCAGATAATGTGACAGTCTTTTGGTTTTAAAGGCCATGAAGGTAACCTGTGCTTCCATCCCCCCTGCACTCCCAAGCTTTCTGGTTCAGCCAAATAGCTTGTCCAGCAAATTCCAATTCATTCTGTAATAAGTAGGAAAAAAGTATGGCCTGGCATTCATACAAATATACTGATAAGAAGAGATGGAAACAAACAGCAAACTTAGCAACAGATAAAAGTCTCTCTCTCTCTCTCTCTCTCTCTCTCTCTCTCACACACACACACACACACACACACACACAACATTGGCATAAATCAGCTGAAAACTTGATATTAATGTTTTTAACAATCCATGCATCCATTTCTTTGAAAGACCACTAAATACAAGTGTAAGAACTGTAAGGGAAAATGGCTTCACAACCCAAAGAGATTGATTTTGAGATAGCAGAACCCAGGAAAGAAGAAGAAAGCAAACAGTTTTTAAATTGAACCCAAAGACACAGACAGTGCAGAAAATTCAATAGAAGACATAGAAAATATAATAGGAAAAATAAATAAAATGAAACAGAATTTTAAGAGATTAGAGAGAAAATATTAGCAATGGAAGACAGGCAAGTATATATACCTAACATATACAAATTAGACTTTCTTTAAAAATTTTTTTAGGGGCACCTGGGTGGCTCAGTCGGTTGGGTGTCCAACTTCAGCTCAGGTCATGATCTCGCAGCTTGTGAGTTCGGGCCCCGTGTCAGGGTCTGTGCTGACAGCTCAGAGCCTGGGAGCTGCTTTGGATTCTGTGTCTCCCTCTCTCTTTGCCCCTACCCTGCTCACACTCTGTCTTTCTCTGTCTCTCAAAAACAAATAATAAAACATTAAAAATTTTTTTAATTTAAAAAAGTTTTTTAAAGAAGAGAATAAATGTTTGAAATTATACATTCAAGAAAACTTTACTGAATTAAAAAGAAGTGAATATTTCTATTAAAAGGATACAACAAGATAGAAAATTGAATGCTTAAAAATTCAGACATATTCTAGTTAATGTTTATCAAGAATCTTCTGAGACCCAGGTAAAAATATTGAGTTATATTTAATGAGGAGTTAAAAATTGATAGAAGGAAGAACTGCTGTAATACTTGGTAAGCATAGACCAGAACAAGGATAGTTAACTCTACCATTTTTGTATTTAGCTGCTTTTAACTAAGTGTAATGTACATCTCTGTGCACTAGATATACTTGCCACTGATGGCAAGGTGGGAAAGGTGGGCTGCCATTTTCCTAGAATAGTTATTGAATGGGTCTCAAATTGCCCTTTGAGATTATCTTTTCTGGGCTTATACTGTGTTTCTCTTCTTTCTTGTTCTTTTTTGTGATTTCTGTACTTCTATATAAACCTTTCTGATTAATACTTTTTCTTTAGTTGTATTCAAATTTTAAACTGTTCTCTTGATGGAATCATCTTTTTATCAAGGAGAATTTGCATTCTACTTTGATTGTTCAAATAGCCATTATTTAGTAGCTATCTTCTCTGTTTCCAGATTACTCTTATATATGTATTTTTTTCCAAATGTTCCTGAGCACCAAACATATTATAGACCCTATTTGATATCACAAGCTGTATTTCTCCATAGTGTTTGCATCTGAGCATGTCTGAAACAATTATTTTACTGTTGAAGTAAATGACACCTCCATTGATTCTTAAGCCAGAAGCCTGAGTCATTCTTGACCACCCTCCCCTTTCTCAATCTCTGTATCACAGTCACTTCCCTAACCAAAGCCACCATCATCTCTTACCTAAACTATTCTAATAGCCTCTAACAAGAATACTTACTTCTTGCTTGATTTTCTCCAATCTGTTCTCTGTTCATCAAGCAAAATTATCTTTTTAAATACAAAGATTGCATTGTGTCCTTTCCCATTTAAAACATTTTTCATTAAACTCTGAATAAAATCTAAACCCTTTGATAGGACCTGTAAGGAAGGCCCTGTGTGATTGAGCACAGCACAACATACGTGATCACTGTATGCCCTCTACTCCTTCCTTTGCTCCTTAGACTCTAACCATACCAGCCTTCTTTCAGACCCTTTGTTGCATCATATACTATCCTAATTCTCTGCTCATTCTGTTCTTGCTTATTCTTTTTCTTTACTCTTTGTGTGGCTAGCTCTTTCTCATGATTGCATATCTCCTAGCACTGTGATAGTTTTTTTCTTTATAACACTGAACACAGTTTATATGTTTATTTAGGTGCCTGTGTGTTTATTATTTATTTAAACCTTTCTCTAGAGCCTTATGAAATATGTAGCTATATTCCTACATACAGATGATGAAATAGGCTCAGATAACAAAGCTACTAATAGCTAGAATTCAGTCCCAGATCCTATTACCTTCAAAATCTAGATACTTTTCACTGGGAATATTTTAATGAGTGCCCAGTCTGGCAATTTTGATGTCTTTTACCATGGCTATGTTACCGTTGCCTAATAAAAACAAGGTAAGTACCAAAAAACACAGAAGACAGACTTTGCATCAGGAATTCAAAAGGAAGTACGTTGCCTGGCATGAGAAAAGATACCATTGAGTAGGATTGGGGCTTAACTGGCAACCTAAAGAATGGATAGGATTTAGATGGGCAGAGAGAAGAAATGACATGGTAGGTTAAAAAAAAGAAGGAGGGGCGCCTGGGTGGCGCAGTCGGTTAAGCGTCCGACTTCAGCCAGGTCACGATGTCGCGGTCTGTGAGTTCGAGCCCCGCGTCAGGCTCTGGGCTGATGGCTCAGAGCCTGGAGCCTGTTTCCGATTCTGTGTCTCCCTCTCTCTCTGCCCCTCCCCCGTTCATGCTCTGTCTCTCTCTGTCCCAAAAATAAATAAAAACGTTGGGAAAAAAAAAAAAAAAAGAAGGAAAGAAAGAAAGAAGAGGGCAAAAAAAAAAACCCAAAAAACCGGAAGACCAAAAATAGGAGAGTTAAAATCTAAAATCATGTTTTGGGTATTTTGAAAACACCTGACCTCGTTGCTGTATTGCTACTTACCTTGTTTATAAGGCAATATGTTTTGCTTTAATTATTTTTTTAACAAATGTATTTTTGTTATACAGCACTTTAAAAAAAAAAAAACATATTCCACATCATCAGTGTGTAACTGCTTTGAGGGCCAAGGACATAAGTTGAAAGCTCAGATTTTGTTTCTCAATGAACTGGCCATTTTAAGAAGTATAGAAGGAATCACCTGACACTGATAATCAGTCATCTTTCTGCAGT